TGTAAAACTTATTTATATGATTACAAATTATTAATAAAGGTTACTTAATTGGATAATAATTTAAATTATTTCATGTTATTTATGATAGTAATTGTTTTTGTTTTTTATAAATAGAAAAATGGATGAACTAATTAAACACTTCTTATCTTAAATTAGTATGAACTAAAAAAACTATTTATAGAGATATAAAAAACCATGACTCATTATGACTCATAAGTACTGTACATTTTCTAGATTCTAAAACTGAAGTAAAGAAAGTATGTGAACTAAAGAAAACTGGCAAACAAAAGACATTTTTTTTAGATTATTTTAAAATAGATATTTATAAATACTTGTACAGGTAACACTTATACAAAATAATTCAATACAATTTTAAAGATAATAAAGATCTTACAAAGTTTTAGTTATACCTTAAAGACAAATGGTTAATAATTTGTGTCTGCTATAGGTGACAAGTGTATTAAAGGTATTTTTGCTAACTAAGAATTTTATTTAAAAATTGTAAGTTTGTTATTAGTAAAATTCAACTTGTATAAAATAGCAAAGAAAATAATTATAATATATAAATAAAAGAAAAATTAGATACATGCCAAACATTTATTATATTTAAATTGCATACATTAAAAAGTTTAAGAATTTGATATTACAAATATTGAAAGTGGTATCTAATTTAAAGTTTAATTAAATGCTATTAATGCTCACATATAAACAGCAATTAATGTTTTTACAAATTTTTATATTAATATTACAAATATTTAAATATAATTTGTAATGAAATAAGAACATAACTAGATTCATATCAACTAAAACTGTTACACTGTTTATATTTTCAAGTTTTATGTCTATGTGGCAGTAAATAATTTAAACATTACCTTATTTAGTATTATATAGCAATATGAAAATAAAAGTCAAAATAAAGAAAATTGTTATTAGCAGCAAAACAAATCTGATAAAAAAAACAGTCTAATGCAGTAACAGAACAACCAACACCATTATCCTAATAGGTCAATAGGACCTCAGTCATACATTGGCATTTATCTTTTATAACTTACGAGCACAATTTAACAGTCAATTACAGTTGAAGGATACATACTTTATAGTTTATAATATCCAGTATCTCATAAATATTATGAATGAGTGACCCCTACCCCCATGACATTTTAAATCAATGTAACAATAGGTAGGTATGTGTAGATAGAGAACGGTTGGTTGGGGAAAAATATTAATGTTAAGCTCGAACGGTGGTGCTCTGATCACGTACTCTATTATAGTAACTACTACGTTGTATTAAAGGTTGCGTGTGAATAAAAACGGATAGCGTGTGTGAAAAAAAAAAATCAATTTCGTAGGTAATCAACTGTTGACGCCTAGGTAAAAAACCCGATAAATGTATGATACACAACGATTTTGATTTTACACTTACCTATTTTAATATTATTGAACTGAACACGAATAAAAAGTTAAACATAATTAGGTTTCAACGGCATTTAAACTCGGTACAACGTAAATTTAAATTAAAAATTACATAATAAAAATATAAGAAGCGACAATAATAATAAATACAAATAAATCAAACTACACCTTTCGGCCGACTGATGCTGCTGTCACTGCTGTAGTTGCAGTTACACCCACAAATAAACAAAACACAAAAATTCCATGGAATAATACATGAACACACCATGGAACATACGTATTGAGGTTAGGTATATATTATAATCCAACGAATAATTTTATTTTAAAAAAAAAAACTGTCTTACCACAACGACCGCGGCGGACGACGATAGCGGGCCAATAATCTACACTAGAGCGCGCTGTCGTTATCGAAAAACGTGTTTAGAAGCATTTGCCCGCCAACCACTGCGCGATCGAAAACCGCGCCGAGCCGTCGAACCACTATCAATGAAATTAATAATAATTATCATCATCCGTATAAAACGTTATAATAAAATCGACGTTTTGCGGTTTTTACATAATATTAACACATTGTGGATTTATGGATTTGTGAAAATCGTAGGCGCGCGCAGCCTCCTGTTTCGGGGGCAGCAAGAGATCAATTCAGCCCGTTCGTCAAAATCACTACTAAAACCGGCCCATAGTTTTACCTTTTTTTTTTCTACTATTGGGTGTCAAAATTTTAAATTGTACTGGTTATTTTTGAAAATTTGTACAGTAAGGTACGTAAAGGTGTACGTTTTCGGAAGCGTCATGGCGTATTGGTGTGTACTGTGTACGATGCGCCAGATGCCAAGACGATAACGTTGAAAACTCATTTATTTTTAGATTTTTCGACCATAAATGATGATAAATAATAATATTTACACTTTAAGATGAAAGTTATTTTTTTTTTTTTTGTAGTAGACAGGTCTATTAATTTTATATCAGTAAATTATATAATCATAAAATATTTTTTATCTATACTTCAGTACTTCACTGATTAAAATCCATTTTTTTTTTTAAATTTTCTCATCAACAATGATCATCATTTGTGAAAATATAGTTTTGCCGAGGCCCATTATCCAAAATTTACCGGCCGCTGTAGCCCCATAGAAAGTCCAGGGGCAGTATATGCTACCTTTGCTACCCCGTGCGCATGCCTATAGGCTGAAAATCAATTTATTATGTCTTGTATAATATGGTCTTGTCGTCTGTTATATGTCACAAAAAGGCGCGAATCTAAGAGGGGGAACTGTGAAATTTATATGCCAACCCTTTTTTGAATTAAATATGTTTAAATATTTATCCTCCAGATTTTATAGTGAGTAGGTATCAAAAATAAATGTCACATCTTCAGATGCTCTGATGAAATGTTGATTTCGGAAAATTATTTTGGTATGTTTCCGTCATAAAATAATTACATGAACAAAAAATCCAAAATGCTTGATAAAAACGGTGTACACTATAAATCGATTTCCATTCTTTAAGTCATGAATGCTGTTTATTTATAGCGCTTAGTCAAAACTATAACAGTACCTACATTAATAAATTTAATTTACCAGAACTGTTCAAAAACGAATCCTAGTTAAGAAAAAAATTAGGTTTATAAATTATAATAATCTTGCGCATTACACTGCTATCTAAACTACCCATCTTTAAATACCAAAGATTCTAATATTGATCACTGCAATTGTCTTGAGGCGCATTTTAAATTTTAACCGATTTCAGGTCCACAGATAATACAAGACAAATAAGTTAAATACCTAACCTCTCTGTCAAGAACCTATTACATATTTTTTTTCAAATTTGTGATGTACTAATATAGCAATCCATTTGAATTCATTTTGGACTCGTGGTCTTAGCTAGTTGCTAATTTGTTATAATCGATTCCATGAGATAGGTACAAATTAAGATGTTTAGATAGTAAAGCCTGATATAAGCAAATTTTCGAGATTTAGCAATATTAAATATCAAAAACTTATAGAATAAATTGTACTTATGTATTTTCAATATTTTTAATGTTGTATGAGATGTACAGCCAATGAGAAATCCTGTTCAAATTATCAAAAATTCTTACCAAAATTAGCTATAAATAGCATAAGAATTAAAATATTTTTTAAATCAGGTATATCAAGTAGGAAAAAATGCTAAAAATATATTTGATTAATTAACTAAGTTTACAGGTAATAATTTTTTATTTTTTTTTTTATTATTATTATTCATTAATAACACATTACATGTTATTACAAATTTGATAAAATGCTTAAATTTTACATTATATTATATAATATATATTGTTGTAATTATTTGTTACATGTTATATTATTACATAAATAGTACTGATTATTAGTGAGTACTAACTATTAGGTAATAATAAATGTAAAATTAATAAAAATATTAAGAAAATGTCAGCTCTCGGCGTAATATTTTAATATGTTTTATCTCTTAGACCAATGTGCAAAATAGGTAAATAACACACATTCATGTAAGTAAATTGTTCTTCATGATTTTTTAAGTAATCTTAAAGTAAAATTGACTATTAAAAAATTATACTTCATATATTACTTTCCATAAATATCATAATTCCTATTTTGTCTAGCACAGGCAAGAGACAAAAAACAGTATATACTGACATATTCTTAGTAAATAATATTACTCCAAGTCAAAACAAAACAAATACAATAAATTGGAAATTTTTAACTTATTTATTATCTTAATTACTTAAATCCAGACTAAACATCATAAAGTTAAATATAGATAAATCAATAAGCTAAAAAAGTATTGCTATGTTAACAATATTTTTTTATCCAAAGTCAATATTACCATTTTTTTTTTTTTTTTTTAATAACAATTAATATGGTTTACAGTAAAAAAACATATAATAAATCAAAAATAGCTACAGTATAAAAATATTTAAACTAGTAATTAAAATGGAAGAATAGAATAGTTTGTCACAAAAAAAGTAATAATTAATATACTTATTGGATTTCATATATTTTTATTGACATAATTTTTATTTTCTATCGCTGCTACTTAGGAACTTGTTCGTATTTTAGCAGAGTTATAATGTTGTGTTTGTGCAATCATAAAATGTTGTAATTAATGTAATAGATCAAACACATATGCTTACTTGTTATGATATATTTTTTATAATAACATTAAATTTTTATACTGAAACTAGCATGGGAACTAGAGACAATAAAATTTAGTTTGTTTAAAGTTAGATAATTATGACAATATACTAAATTAATGTAATAAATAAACTACAGAAATCCATACATTTTCATGTAATTATAATTTATTACACTTAATTCTTAATAGATATTAATTAAATTTTATTCTTCCAAATATATTCTTAAAAATTATTAAAATATCTCTAATATTTCTCATCTCCAAACACGGTCCGTTAATGTCAAAAACAATGAAATTACTAATATTCACTTTGAATATTCTTATCATAGTATTAAGTTAATGTAAAAATTCTATACCTGAAATTAAACATTATATTTTCTATATTATCAAACCATTTTAAATGACATGACATTTTAAACTTTAAAGATCCAAGATAATTGGGATATTGTAAATTAATTTATGTCTATTGTCTATGCAAATATAAATATATCTAATTATATATTATGTTTGGTTTGTGTTCAAAGCTGAACAATTGGCGCATGATTCCACAAAGATAAATTCTCAAAATGAGCTGGTACTGTTAATAAGGCATCATCAGTTGAACGATTGACAGAACAGTTCTGTAAAAACATTTTAATTATTAAAATAATATTATTTAATAGAATTTAACAAATAAATGATAAGTAAATCATTTTCTTTATTAAGTATTAAAAATTGTCAAAATCGGAATAGCCATCCAGGATAAGAGCTTCCTGATTCAGCAAGTCTCAAATGTGTAACACAAAACAACAAGAACTCTTCTGCTATTATTTTTTATTGACCTCAAATTCGCTGAAGTTAATAAAGAAATTTTCAATTTAAACAATTTACTTTACACAAAGATAAAAGTTGAGAAACCTAACAAATGATGTAAAATTATACAATGTTTCAACGGCCAGGAACACGAGACATTCCTTATCCTTCTTTTCACACCCTCCAAAATACGTCTGCTATGCTACTGCTTATCCAGCCTCATCATGTATCAAATACAAATAACAATCACCAATTTTTACCTCATATAGAGAAAGCTATTTGGCAAGCTACAACCAGTGGCTATACAGTTTATAAAGAGTTCCAACATTTGCACACTACAAGTAAAAATTATAAAAATAGAAATAGACCAGCTTTTTTTAAAATTGATATTGCTCTTACATCAAACACCCACTACACTACAAAAACAAATAACTTTTTTTCAGGCTACAATTTATACAGAATAGACCACCCTGGTGAAACAGCTCATACAGGTTCTGCTATTATTATTTCATCTCAAATTATATATAAACCTCTTCCAAGCTTACAACTTTCTACTATTCAAGCCAAAAAATAAACCATTTACACTTAATCACAACCCCACTACAATATCTGACATGTATTGTCCTCCTCTGCCAGCGATCTCTTACCACCAAATCGATCTACTTCTATGATCATTCGGCTACACATTTATTGCCGGAGGAGACTTCAACGTCAAACACCTCAATAAGGGTTGTAGAGTTAAAAACTATTGAGATCACGTGTCATGCTTGTCAAAGTGATACAAAGTATTAGGTGTAAATGTATTTCACCTACAGATTCCACATATTAACCAACTCACTAAAACCATTATTTCAATATTTTAGGTATCTTTCTTTCATTAATTCTTAGACATTCTGAATAAAGAATCTAAACAAAATTAATAATTTTATAGACAGTCCATTATCAACTTCCCTTCCTATAGAACACACATTGCCTAGTAAAATAAAAAAATTAATATTTAAACTGAAGGATAAAATATTATCTAGTTAAGATTTAATTTCTTAAAGAATACTAAAATTTCTTCTTACAAAATCCATAATGCTCCTTCCCATTTACATAACTCAATGCTAATATTGTCTTATTTTTCGCTAATCTGGAAATTTTCAACAATAATAATCATACTTAAATCAAGTAGACCCAAAAAAGAGGATTTATCATATCGACTTATCAGTCTATTACTAATGTTAGCTAAATTATTAAAAAAAAATTCAGAATTTCTGATACCTCTGGAGTCATTTTATGTTCCTTTTATCTTAAGAGAAATCTTACCTTATACTTCACTTTGAGGAAATAAAAATTCTAATCAAAACCAAATTAAATATTTGGACCTGATTTTAGATTAATGTCTTAGCTAAGGCTTACAATCCAAATCGATAAGAAAATAACTTAATAGTAGACTATATCTTTTCATCCTATTCTGCAATCAAATTTTTCCCTCAACAATAAAATAATTATTCACAAATCAATGTTAAGTCTACCTGGGTTTATAGAAAACAGATATGAGGTAGTGCAAAAGCATTCCAGTCAATTACTATCCATTTACTAACTAATGTATCTTAGTATTTTTCTAATAATTTGCTCTAAAAAAGCCTTAACATTGAACCATCAACACAGTTACATCCAATCATTACAAAAAATTCCACTTTAAATTAGCCATTCACATCTACTTACTTGTAGCCATTCAAGGCAGAATAACTTGCCAAAAAATTCTTGTTAGTTAAAAAGACACTGGTACAAAGATTTATTAAATCCCCAACCATAATACCACAAGAGGGTTGTTACAGAACAGCCTCCCTCTTCATACTAGATTATTATGTTGTTATCTATGATATTATATTACATCCTATTTGCTTATTGTATGAATTTTACAGAATGTAAATTCTCTATTTTAATAATAATAAAATTAAGGTTTAAGTTTGTCTTTAAGTATACCTTTGGTTGCATACGATATGTGTCCACACATTCAATGTTTAACTTAATCACTTCCATTTTGCATTTATAGCCACTTAAAGTTAGCTTGATGATGGTGTGCAAAGGTACGTTAATGTATGGTAATTCTTCTACAAGTAAAATATAAATAAGATAAATACAATTGTAAAATAATAAATGTTTAAACCTTAAATTAAATCTTAGTTTTGTTAAACAAGCTAAATTACCATGTTTCTTATTTAAGAAATATCCAAGTAAGCATCTTAAAACAGCTTGGTGACTGATTATCAATAAATTATCTATATCTCCTTCAAGTTCCAACAATACTGGTTTCAATCGTGTCATAATATCTATGTACGATTCTCCCCATGGATACCGATACTGTAACTTATCTTGATCACGCCAAGCAAACTCTTGTGGAAATTTGCATTGCATCTCTTCATAACTCAATCCTTCACATACACCCTAAAAAATAAATAAAACATTCAAAATTAGGGTTACTATAATATAAACAAATGAAATATGTACTTACAGCATATAACTCATTTAGAAAAGGTACAGGTTCTATTGGTGCTTTAATACCTTGAGCTGTTTGGTGGGTACGTTTCAATTCACTAGTCCATACGCGTAGTCCTTCTAAACGATTCTCATTATTAAAATAGCGTGCTAATGCTGCAGCATAAGTACGGCCACGGACTGATAATTCTGCATCTCCTCCAATACGACCCAAAACATTGTTTTCACTTTCACCATGCTATAAATTAGTTATCAAGTTATTATACAAGTATAAACAAAAATTATTAGTTTGATTATAATCTTACTCTTGAAAAATAGAACGTTTTTGCTAATGGTTTGAAGTTTGAAACAAAGGCTAACACCTCACTTTGCATAGGAGAATTCAAACGACAGACAGTTAGTGATTCTCCTAAACACAATTTTAATATTAATTAAAATAATGAATATTTTTTTCAACTAATTATTGTATTTATTACCTGCATTCAAATATTTTATGTAGCTATAGCCATCTGTTTTTGGTTTCATGGGTTCATGTTGTTCCATATAATGTTCAATCTTGTGATGAAAATCATCAAGAGCTTTCTCACTAGACATATTTCTATAGTCCTTACTGAATTGCATCACTTCTTTGACATTGTGCTCAATAAGCATCTCATCATCACAAACACACTCAATAAATAATACTTTATACCCCATGACCTTAGCAAAATGATCATACACTGCTTGACGGCGAGCTTGTGTTATATGAGTGCCATCCAATATCTAAAACATTTAATAAACATTATAATTTAAAATTCTACATAACATATTAAAACCATTTAATACATACAGCTACATCGCCTCCATCTTGTAACCATTTGGTGGCATCATCTTGTGCTTCTTGTGCACTTAATTGACGAATCTCAGCCGCTTCACTGTTTTCCTTACGAAAGAGGTCATGGCTACTATACAACTCAATGTGTTTACGTCTGTATGAGCTCACAGAAAACACTAAAATAAAAATAATTATTTATATAATATGTAATTTATTGCACAATATTATTTTGTAGTTTTTGTGCGACTGAGTAAGATAAAAAATACAAATTATCTTGCTTAAGAAAAGAAAAGATAAACATAAAAACATATACTCTTTTAAAAGTATTTTTAAGAATATTAAGTTTATTAAATTACAAAAATTTTAAAATTAATATTGAAGTTATGAGTAATAAATATTGATAACGATATTTTTAATTAGAGGAATTATGAATAGGAACATTTATACTTATAAAGTTTCAAAATAAATCAAAATATTAGCACATTAATTGATTTTGCTATTATGTCCTTCTACTATTTAAATTAATTTAAATTACCAATGTTTTATTAAGTAATTAAAATTTAATATTTTTCGATAGGAAAAAATACTATTTACATTAGTTTTAAGCAGGGAAGGCCTGATCCTGCATAATACCCAGTGGCTTGGCTTCTTTTTAATTATTTAAACAGCGAGATAAATGTTGACTATAATAAATTTATTTGTATAAACATTTTTCTCAGGCCATATTTTTTTTTATCATAGAACATGGTAAACACAATCTCTAGTTATTACTAGGGCTTGGATTTTGTAGCAAATGCTTCTTTTGAGGGGAGTATAATAGAAAGATATTTATTGCATATAAATATGTTTTGAATTGTTCTGATTTCAATAAAATAAACTTTTTTTAAATTTTTTCCACAAAACCTGCTTTTCCTCCTATTTGCTTCTTTTTTCTTGATTTTTACTTATTTATAAGTTATAGACTAAAAATACTATATTATTATTGCCAGAAATTATAAAACCGATAAAAAAACTAGTAATAAACAGATGATTAATAAAATAACTATGGTTATTGTACCGAAATTATATCTGCATATTTTTATAGCACATTCTGATATTTTGGTTTACCGGTAAATATCAATCAGTGTGGTATAGTGTTTTAAATAATTTCTCTATAATTGTTATTAACACCCAATAGGATGAGTTTTAATAAAAGTAACTTGACTAAATATATGGTCGTAAATTTCTTTTTTAATATTTAATTTTATGTGTAGTTTAAATTTGTTTTTTAGAATTAAATTTAATAAATGCTTTTTTAAACATTTATTTTGCTATAAAATCTAAAACCTAGTTATTACTTATTACTTGGCATAATTAAACTTGAATCTTTATTTTAAATTAAATTAAATTTTTTTTGAAATTATTATGCTTAGTTTAGAAGTGCTTATGAATTTATTACAAACCTTTAGCCTTATGATTTGTCCAGTTGAGATATTGTTGAATCTTATAAGCAAGAATGGTTTTGCCACGTGCTGGCAAACCTACCATTGTTATAACCAAGGGCACAAAATGTTGGCCGACTGAAAAATTGTACATACAAATGTTAATAACCAGCAATAATATGCAATATATACAAAACTTAAACTATAATTATTAGAAAAACATGAAAGGTACCATTTTGCCAGGTATACTCAATAATTTATTGGCCAATGTTCAGCAAAGTACTTGAAAATAGATTTTTTGGCTAGTCAACACATCATTAAATTTCTTAATAAATAAGTCTTACTTATAAGTAGTTTAGCCTATTAACTGATAGATAAGTACTATCCATGACTTTTAAATTTTTTATGGAAATATTTAACTTTTTCTAAATTAATTTTAAAATATTAATGTTAAGGATAAAATTTTCAAAAAGTAACTGTTTTAAACATAGTATGAATAAAAATTGAAGTATTATTAAAAATATTTATCCTTCAAACATAATTGTGATCATTCAATAAAGGATACTTAGGTCTTAAAAAAGAAACTATTCTTAAGACTGGAGTTATAGTATTGATATTTCTAATAATTTATTTATTATGCGAGCAAATAAACTTTATACCAAAATAGCTATTGTTAATGTATTATGAAGATTTCTTTTGGACACACCATAATAAATATTGTAATTTTATTATTGGAGTCTGGCCAAATTTAGAAGCATTTTACTTTATCAACATAATACTTTTTTAGCCACCCACACAGCCACAGCAATACGTCATGTTAATAAAATATAGCATATATGAAATAATCTTAAAATAAACATAACTTATTGTTTTGATACCCAGAATACCTAAACAGTCTATATTAACTCAAATTGAATTGTAGGTATATCTATATCATTGAACACACTTAGATTTTTATATGTTTTAAACAATTTATATTATGTACTACTAGGTATATGAGAAAATTTGTTTTCACCTTGGAACATTACTAGCGGCATTAAATCTTTCTTTCCAACTAAATCATCATCCTCAGATTCAGACTGTGACTGACGTTGCCAATCCTTTTTAATGGGCCGCATCATGATCGTAGGCGCCATGATGTTGAAGTTTACAGTCACACTTAAAACAGGACTCGAGCGCTCACACCAATTATAACTATTCTATACTGCTAGCGGTGTGTGGGACTAGAGCACGGCGATGGCGTCTAGCTCTGAAAAGTGATCTGAAGAAGTGTGATAGATGAGCTTCTGCAGGTCTGGCCTCATGCCACCAATGGATCTTCTACGTACGACGTAGTCCACTTTGCTGGCCAGTGTGATGGTGCACAGGAAATTTGTCGAGTCCACTTTGGCCACCGGCGTGTAAAAGCAAGAACGAAAGGTATCGGGATACCGGATGTCTGATTTGGTCGTCCGTGAACACTTGCGCAACCTGATAGCACACCTGAGAGGCGGGCGACGCTACGTGTGCAAAGGTAGAACGCGCACGACGAGAGAAAGAAAACAGCGGAGGAGTAGGAGTGGTGGAAGCAGTGATCGGAGCGGTGTCGGAACCGGAATATGGTTGCAGAGCACGCACACCGTTAAGAACAGTGCGTTTTTACGACAATGGTGAAAATATTCAGCCCTTGAGTTGTAGCACTCGCGTGATGAGATTGACGTCGGCAGAATTCAGACGGCAACAGAAATAAAAATACATTGTCAACAGATGGACACGATCGGTCCAAAACGGTGTTCAACGGCGTTCGTGTGGTAAAATACAATATACAATAATAATAATATTATGTTCTATTTCAAACGCCGAAACAACGGGGGCGATAGAAAAGAAAGAAAGAAAAATAAAAAAAAAAAATGGTAAAAAACAATATTAAAAAACCACTATCTATGCTACTGCAGTCACACCGACAGGAGATTCGAGAGACCAACGACGACCGTACGCTGTGCACTGACAAATGACGACTGACGAATGACGAGTGGCGACCGACGACGAAACGACGACGAGTGGCCAGAGGTGAGAGGGGCAACACAGAGCGAAAAGTGGCGCTGCTGCGCGGCGAGCTGTGCGGCGGTGCGTCGAACGGCGTACGGATTAAACGCGGACACTCGCACGAGACGGATCGGCGCGCGACGAACGGTGCGGATGCGGCGGCGACGACGGCGACGCGCAGCGGCGGACGCCGAAACTGAGTTGTCCGAGAGTGACGGGACGGACGACGTGCGCGGCGCGAGTTACCGACTGCTGGCCGCAAATTCGCGGCGGCGATCGATAGCGATCCGTCCGGGTCGAGCCGCCGAGCCGGCGCGCAACGTATAATATTATTACATGTCGTGATCGTGTGAAAAAAAAAAAAAAAATAATAAAATTAAAAAAAGTCGGCCGTCCCGACCGACCGCGTGTGCGTTTGAGGTGGGAATAGGCACCGTTCACGCGCGCTTCCCCGCAGCGTACCCTTAACCCATTCCAGATCGTTGCGGTAGCGGCGACGGCGGCGGCGGTGTTGTTGTTGTTGTTGTTGTTGTTGTTGTCGTTGTCGTTGTTGACCTGTTACCTACCACTCGTTGTGTAGACCAATACTACCACTAGTACCACTACACCAACTTAATAATATCATAATACGCTGCTCGGGGAAGTCTCGAGTAGTCGAGTACCTACCTACTTTATATTTCTACGGCGCGCCCCACGACTGGCTCGGCCTTCTTTTTGTCGAGGACTTGGACGTTATTTTCGGTGTTTTTACGGCGTAGTTTCACGTCGTCGGTCAAGGTCGTGTCCCGTTCATCCCCTCGTACCGCCCCACCGACGTTTCACAATATATTTTGTTATCCCCCCGGGCCTTTGCACGTGGACTCCGCGTTCATATTATTACAACCCGCAGTGAATGGTGTTTGATTTAGATTTTGCGGAGGAGAGGCTCGACGACCACACACGTTTGAAATTACATTTTGATATAAATCATAGTATAATGAACATAGACCGTTTTTTTTTTCACCAGATATTCCATAAGTATGCCGCGATACGCACATGATATACGTATTATAATAATATGATATGCGGCCGATATGGTTGTCCATAATATTCATAATAATATTATGTATGATAAATTATTATTCTGTGTAATCACTTCCTATATCGCAACTTCCAAGGATAATACGTATCTTAGACAAAATATTTTACTTAATATTTATTAGGTAATGTGGACTTATTTTTCCTAAATCAAACGTTAACGATTCGTATTTGATTTAGTTTATATTTTTAAAAACGTAGCATAACATATTAACATAATATATTAGGTATGCAACATCATCGAGTCACCCGAGTACCTGACTACCCCATTCCACCATACGTGTGTTCGTGCTTAATGCATATACTGTCGGATATATAGGCACAATATATATTTTACAGATATGTTGCAGTATCCGTGATTTTTCTGTCTGCCCATTCGTGAATACACCCACATAAAAATGTAAAATTGGTCAAAACATTTTATAAAGATTCTATTTTAATGTCGGATATGTTGATTTAAATTTGGATGTATTATTTGAAATTATTTCTATACCTATATCGACTAGAATTTCAGTATTTACCTATGACTATGTCTTATCCAGACGTGTTAACCATCTTAGTTATGTGAAGTATTGAAAAATTGCTTGGAACATATTATACACGTAGAAGTGTAATAAAAAATATCAAATTTAAGTTATAATACTGATTGCATTTAACTTATAAAATACACAAATAAGTCAGAAAATCATTTTCGTAAAACGCAAAGCAGAAATTATTTTTCTAACTTTTATTTTTCGTTGACACTCGGAACCCTATCTGTGAATACGACTCTCTCGTAATAATAATGTCCGACTATTGTGCAAATTTAGAACACATTTCTTGTTTACGGAAACTACGGCTTCTTGAATGATACAATATTATATAATCGAGTTTTGTTAGACATCATTGTCTCTAAACGCATGTGTCATAGATTTCTTAGTCGATAATGGCGTAAAGTATTTATTTTTTTAACAAAGGCATATTATGAAATCTGTTTATTGACATATTGAATATATTATATAAAGTCAATAAGAAGGTATTCAACCTACAATTTAGTATATAAAATCATTTTTGTTTGTTTTTTATACAATTTAATAAATATTGATGTCAGATGAATTATTATTCATAGATAAACTAAACTCATAAACCACAATAGTTACAAGCCACAATCCATGTATTAATTTAAAAAGCTCGTTATAAAATAATTATTTAATACGATGAACGAAATATAATAAATTTCTTATACAAACCAATTGGCCCATAATTATTATTTGTCGATACAACATATAAACTACTTGGTTAAATTATTATTATTTTTGCTCTCGGTTACTATTGCCTTAACATTCAATCAGCAATTAATTGGAAGATATTTTCTATAGGTAAATCAATTTAATTACATCCGCATTTTACACAACGCCTACTAATAAAACATCTATCCTTCTTAGCCCTCCTAAAAACCCTGGTGAAACTTCCCAAGACATTACTCTCTTTATACAACACTGCACATTACTCTGTGGTTATTCTGATATAACCTATTTCAGAAATTCTAGTTAGGTATTAAAAAGTTGTTTATTGTTCTATATGTACATAACAGTTGTTATAGCATACTATTTTTCTAATTAAAAAAAAAAAAAAAAATAGATATTAATAGACCTAACGGTTAAGTTAGGTCGTATACAGTTTACCGCCCTTACAAGTGTATGTATTATTATTTTTCACATGTATTTAATTACACTTAAATGCGATATAATTGTTTTTATATGATAACTTATAGGTACTTACTTTTATACAAAAATCAACAGCAGAATATTTCATACTCATATTATTAACAATATTTTGAAATATGATTCAACAAAAATAAACTCTTCAACATTAAATTATACATGCATAATCAAAATCCGGATAGCTGTGGAAGAAAAGTAGGTTGAGTAAAAATTGTATAATGTATTATATATTTTTAAATTAATTTCCCCCCTTCCCCATAGAAAAATGTCTGAGACGCCCATACAACTTTAATTATTTTTGTTCAGTTTATATATTGAATGTCTTGGTGTAATCAGGATTTGAATATCATTAAAAAACTAACGATATAGACATTTTCAAAGTGCTTTTTAAATGTTAACTATCAATTTCAAAAAAAATTACAAAATAGCCAATTTAGATGATGATTTTTAATCATAATAAGTAAACATTATTATAATTATTACCTGATGTCTATTATAATATATAACTTAAATCTTGATATTATTAATTTATAACAAAATACTATACTAATTATTTAGGTGTATAAAATTATTTAATATATTTAAAATCATTACTTATCGTCTTATCGCTTATGCGAATACCTATGAGATATTAGCTGACTAAATGAAGAAAGTATTTTTTCTAATATTTTATTCGTACAATGCACTAATTCGTAAAACTTTGGAGTTTGAACTATATATTGCATAGTTGCATGTACTATAAAGTTATGAGAATAAAGTGTAAACACTAAACATATTGTAGTCTATGATATATTATTTAAAAATTAATATAATGGCACCAATTGTGTTGTGGCGTTAATAATGGTTAATTCATTTTTTCTTAAAGTTTACAGAAGTAAACTTATAAATTAAATTAAAATATTCTGTAGTTGTTGTTTAGTTACATAAAATACCTATTGATGGGTTATTGTTTTATAAGTACTAGGTATTTTCTATAGTTCTCTACCATACTAATCAAGAATCATACCTTCAGGCTTGATTTGTATAATATTATTTATTATAGATATATTGTGTTATTAGCTATAACTCTTAAACTTTAATATAATAATCAAGTTAAATCTAAAGTCAATATAATAAGTACCTAATAATGTTTATTTAGTACTTAGTAGGTATACTTATAATAGCTATACAATATTTGAATATTAAAAACAACACGTACGTAGGTGATAATCATAAACAATAATTGCACCTACGTTGTTTAATCGTACTGTGAATCTATTGTAAAAACATTTTCATTTTAATAGTGCTAATATATAATTAGCCATTAGGAATATATTAATCGGTACATAAATGAATATCGCAACAAAAACTTTAATTTGATGCAAAAAATTAATCATCTGTCCTAAATTAATTTAACAGTTACCTATAATCTAAGTTTCGCAAGAAATAAGAATACAGTTTAGATTATAATTAACAGGCATTGTATAACAAAAAAACACTTAAAAAGTGAACAACCATAATGATAATATGATTGATATTGATATAATTTATTAAATAACTAAAATCTATCTTCAAAGTATTTAGCATATTTATAAAACCCACATATTATAAGTCACATTTTTATATTTAATATAGCTATAATTCAATAAATTTAAAAATTACTTTGTTAAAATATTATAATTTGCGCCACACAGTTATAAAAACTAATCATTAATCACACTTGATTTCTACAAAATTTTTATTTAAAATTATAAAATATTATAAAGTAGGTATAATACTCCTAATAATATTATTCAGTTTATTGAGGTTAATATCAGCCACTAAACTAAAAGGTATAGTTTACTATAAATAAATTATGATTTCAATTTTATGTATAATTGTATAAATGTATAGCATAGCAAAAAATGACTGAGATAAAATATTTCTCCTTTGCCGTGTGGCGTTTACACTATTTCGCTTTTCTGCGACCTTAAAGCTTAAACCATTATAGTTTATATCTTATATTTAGTATTTAATTTAATATTTAAAAAATGTATGATCATTTTTAAAAAATTAAATGATTTTTGTTTGAATATAAAAAGTATTTTACTTCTAAAATATAATTAGAATGAAAAATGATGTTCCTACTTAAATTGGTGAAAGCATTTTAAATTTTGAACAAGAATAAAAAATAATTTTTGAAATATTGATTGTAAGTGACTTATTTTAAATGAATCAACTTGTAAATAATAAATTATATAGTATACTTATAATATATAATATTATTGTGTGTTATATTATATATTTTTAAAAGTCAACTGTCTAGTGCCCTATAGGTTATGGTTATATATTTAAAAACATTAATTA